AAAATTGTTTCTTCAAATTAATAAGGTGTTATTAAAGCAGATAACTGTAACCCTTTCTAATTGGTGACACGTTTAGAGAAAAATTATTTATTTTCCTTTTCGAAGCTGACGTTTTAATACTAATATTTAAATTCAATTCAAATACGTATCGCAAAATTTTTAGCATTTATGAAATGATATAGTTCAATATTGTATTATTTTAAATTATATGTCGTTCGTTTTATAAAGTGACATTCGAAAGCAAAATAATAAAGATTCAATATTTTATTCGTTTCATAATAATAATAATTGTTCCTTGCTGCATGCTTCATAAACTTAAATATATGATAATGTAAGTTTTATCAAATTTGTCTCAGGAAAATTTGCTTGATGGAAATTTATTTATAGATTTAAACACAATCCTTTGCAAACACAAGAAGTGGTAAAAGTTCAATAATCTTTTTAAATTCTCAACTTAAAAAGGTCAGGTTCTAGCTTAAAAGACTAATTACAATAATATAAAAGGGCATTGTAAATGTAAATTCTAGATTTCATATTACTCATTTAAGAAACAATTTATTTTGTGATAATAAATAAACGTAACATAGTGTGAAATTTCATACATTTTTACTAAGAAACACACAATTAAAATACGATAACTCGTAGATGTTAAATAGTTAGAATTACGGTAAATTTAAAGCTTTGTTTTATTTATTAGTGTATCGACTTTTGTTTAATCAGGGCATTTAAAGTAGATCAGCTTTATATTATAGAAATATAAGGAAAAGGGTATGGTTTAAAAGGTAATTGTATACATAAAAAAAGTTTTTTTTTCTTTTTTTCCCCATTATATTACGAACAGTTACCACAGTTATTAATAATTGGAGATTTCAAATAGAACTCGGTTTAACAAACAACAATATCATCAGAGTAAATGTTAATAAGATTTAGGTTTTTACACCTTTCTATTTCATTGAAGAGTAACACCCTACAATTGATATTATTATGGGTATCCTTATAAAATAATTAATATATATTTCTAGACACTACTATTCGTATACAATTAAAGAACATAAAAATTATCAATATGTGTATGTATTTAAGTAAGTATTTCTCTTTTTTTAACGACAACTATTTTTTTTGTAGTGCAAAAAAAAAAAATAACAAGCATGGACTACTTCCGCAATGTCAACATATTCGGGTTAGGCTATTGTTAGTACAATTTGAGATTTACACAGATGAAAAAAGACTGACACGGCAGGTTAGCTTGGGTATAACAATTTTTGCTGCAACACTGTACGTCATGTATATTGAAATTGTACTATAGAAATTGTAGCATAAAGTTAAATAGACACAAAAATGTTTTCTTATGATTTATTTATTTGTTACAGATTAAATCGATGGTTGTTTAGTACACGCTTTCTTCTCATCGCCATCAAAATATGACATGGGTAAGAAATATTTCTTTTTTATGTGAACGAATAAACGTCCCTGAAATGCGTTTTTAAAATATGAATCGTAGGGATGGAGGAGATAGATAGACAACTCATATACATGATCGTGCGCCAACTTTTGTCAATTTAAACCTAAGAAGATATTGTTTTGTTTTGAAAGTAAACAATGATAAATACAATTTAATCAAAGGGTTTAAGTTACTAAGAAAATAATTTATCAGAGGTACATTTTTATGAACTATTAATGGTTAAAAGCACAAATAAAGACCATCGTGATTTGTAAATCATTTAAAAAAATTCAAATATTTAAAAATTTCAAATAATAATTAACAAGTGGCACTAAAAAATTAAACAATTAATCTTAAATAGCAATTAGAGTAGTAAACCTATTTTTGTGTAATTAATTCACCATAGATACATGTCTTCAAGTACTATCCCATATAATCTTATTCATTTCGTGTTTATGAAAATTAATCATGTTTATATATATAATTCTTCTGTGAGTATGTATGTCGCTGAACTTCTCTCAAACGACTGGACCGATTTTGATGAAATTTTTTGTGTGTTCAAGGGGATCTGGGAATGGTTTAGATTCACAATTTTGTCCGCTGGACAAAGTTTTTTCAATTAATTTTTAATTTATTAGTAGTTGTTGAAACAAACGTTTTTTTGACATAAGATTTGACAACTAACTAATATGTTAATCATTCTGTCGCACTTTAAAACACGGAGATTTATGGCTTTAATAGTAAACTCCAAAAAAATAAATAAAAAAACGTAACAGATATTTCTTGATTATAGGGCGATACGAAGTTCGCCGGGTCTTCTAGTATATATATAAAAATTTTATGTGTTTGAATGACCTGATGTTACCGAATTTTTATTTACGGATATGACATATGGTTTTGAAGGGGTATTAATCCAGCAGTCGGTCTAGCTGGGATCAAATTTAGTTTGAATGAGGCACCGTGGTGGACCGTATTTATTTCAGATTTTGGTTAATCTCCGAATGGGGAAATGATAATCTCAAGAAATTAAACACACCCACGAACATTTCTTTTTGCCAACATATAGAATCTTTTCACTTTGACTTAAGCTTTTCAAAAAATGTGTACTTCAAAAACACCTGTATTTATTAGACATTGAACAGTCTGCAAGCTTTAACTTTGGACACTGCTTTGAGTTTAAGGCAAAAGCAGCTACATAGAAATTCAATGTCACTGAAAAAGTACGTCAGTACTGCTAGCTTGTTTTCATGACCTGGTTTTGTATGGATTATTTATTTAACGATTCACCTAAATACTTTTGGGCTCCGTGAAAAGACGTACAAAAAAATTTACTGGATACCAAGATATGGTTAATAGTTTGCTATCACTACCTACGGTTTAATCTTCTTCTCCTTTCCACCAGAATAGTGCCGCACTGGTAGTGAACTATGTTGTCACTATTACTAAAAGTATATTTTTTAATATCATAATTTTTTTCCCTTGGTAATTTATCACATTTATAAATATCTACAGCCACGGGCAAAAGTATTAGGCACCCTACAGTAAGACAAGTTTTAGAGTGTTTTAGCATAGCGAGTGTAAATAAAACTGCATTTATGATTACAATGGTTTATTTTAAGAAAATAATTAATATTTTGTAGGTCCACCTTTTGACTTAATAACCGCAGCCACTCTTTTTGGCATTGACTCTACCAGCCTGAAACATTCTTCTCTTGATATATTTTTCCATTCCTGCTGTAACGCGGCCAATAGAGCTTGTTTATTGCTAATCGAGTGCCTGCGGATATTTTTCTTTAAAATGGACCAAATATGCTCAATCGGGTTGAGGTCTGGTGATTGTGGTGGCCAATCAATATGATTTTCAGCAAACCACTTCATGGTATGCGCGGACTTGTGGCAAGTGGCGTTGTCTTGCTGAAATTTCAGGCCATCGGTGTTTGTATCACCGAAAATTTGCGTTATCGACGTTGCTAGTGCTGTTTCCAGAACTTCAGTGTATTTAACACTATTCATTCGTCCCTCACACAACACCATTTCGCCCACTCCGTCGGCAGCCATGCAGCCCCAGATCATTATTGAGCCTCCACCATGCTTAACAGTGGGAACCACACATTCTGGGTTGTATTCTTCGCCAACCCTTCGCCTAACATAAGTCACACCGGGTGTTCCAAACACCTATGTCAAACGAAAAAAAACACATTTATTTTCAAAGTTATTATTTTTCTTGCAGTACGTTATTTTAAAAACATTTATGTGTTTTAATATTGTACATAAAATAAATAACAATACCTCAAAGTTAGATTCGTCTGACCACAGTATGTTGGACCAATCTTCCACTGACCAATCTCTATGTTTGAGTGCCCACTCCAACCGATTTTTCTTATTGTGTTCTGACAGCCACGGCTTCTTCCTTGCTTTACATCCTTTTAATCCAGCTTTAAGAAGTCTTCTTCTCACAGTATAAACACTCACTGAGCTGCCTTTTGCCTCAGATAATGCTGCAGCGAGCTCTAAAGCAGTTTTTTTCCTGTTTTGTAGAGACTGCCTAATCAACAATCGATCTTCCCGTTCAGTAGTAACTTTTCTTCTGCCTGTTCTTGGTCTATTTTCATGGGTGCCAGTCTCTTTGAAGCGATTTATAGCATATTGAACAGCACATCGCGAGCACTTCCCTTCTCGGGCTATTTTAACCTGAGACATGCCTTGTTCATGTAAAATCTTAATTCTTAGACGCTGTTCAGCACTAAGTTCAGATTTTTTCGGCATGATTAACACGTTAAATGTTAGTCTTTAGAATTGTGATAGGAATAGTTGCGTAGAAGACGTGTATGTTCACTGCAAGCACTGATAACACACTATAACCCGAAACGCAAAAAAGCAAATTCGAAGAAACACCGCTTAGGAGCACACCTGGATGTCATAAATATTTTCTTTTATCTTAATTTGGTTAAAAATTGCCGCTAATACAATAGCTAAACCATAAAACACACATTTGACCGCAATATAATGAGATAGTGACTAACAATAGGGGTGCCTAATACTTTTGCACGCAGCTGTATAACAACGTAACAACCAAATTTCTTATTATGTTTAGTAATGCCAAAATAAGATAAATATTGATGAAATAATATTTGATTACATTTTTTTTCCCTTTTTGAATTATCACAAATATTCCATGGCCAAATTTTCAAAATTATAAAATGGGATATTGTGCTAACCAAAATCTAATTTTGTGCTTTCTCGTGACACAATACTTTTTATTTCGATGCGTATGAGATCATCGCAACGCTTTAATTTTACTAAATGAGGTGTTTAATTCTAAGAATTGAATTTATCCATGCATGCAACACTGAAGTGTTTAAAGAAAATGTCAAAGTTAGTATAGTGACATTTAACTTAACAGTGGCGTCGAGCAAAAGAAAAAATTGTGTCGAGATGAATTGGCGAGGTGTTCGGCTTTACGCGTATATGGAGTGGCGCGGTCTGGCCGCGTGATGTGCGGGAGCGCGCGCGTAGCAGGCGGCGCGCCTCCCCGCGCCTACCTCGGGCCCCGCGCGTAATGCGCGCGGAGCACGCCGCGCTCTACGCGTGGCTACTCTGCTGCGCTACTGCTCTTTCGACCCACAAGTATAGCACTAGGGTTATACGTACTAAATACGGTCCTCTGAGAGGGATTGTGGTGCACTCACATCCGCAAGTTGAAGCTTACCTAGGGGTACCCTACGCGACCCCACCACTCGGCAGTCTAAGGTAAAAGAGAAGTTATATATTTCAGCTATTTTTATATAATTTAAGGTGTAGTAAAAATATTTTCCATATACCTAGATACATATTTATTTTAATCATCATATCACTCACAACAGTTAAAAGAGAAGTCTGGAATGTATTATGTCGGGTGTGTCTAGTGCGAATTTTACTCCTGCTGAGAAATTTTATTTTCGATATTATTTATATGTGTTAAATTTTCTTCAATGCGATATATATAACACGTTCTTTTTTTTGATGTTATCAGAGCATTAGATTTTTGTGATAGTAATTTCCCACAATATATAAAACAATTCTATATCATAGTAAAGTGTATGTGGTAATAGTACGAGCAAACACTTATAAGTAAAATATGGCAGATACATGCCGCCTGTGACGCCATCGCAGTGGCGTACGACGCGCCTGGCAGACGCCGCGGGGCCAGCTTGTCCTCAAGTGCCTCCTGCCGCCGCGCCGCGTGACGAGGCACTGCTGGTTCACCCTCGGGCCCGTATTCGACAGCTAGAACGACTGCTTCCTATGCTAGTCAATCAAAGCGAAGACTGTCTTTACGTTAACCTCTACGTACCTGTGATAGGTAAGTTCAAATTTTTTAAAAACTATATGAAAACTATAGTTTTCTATAATATAATACGATAAGGTTAGTAAGAAAAAAAGGTGTGTTGTACTCAATATTGAATAGTTAACTATTTTAACAAAAAAATTATTAACAACAATTGATTTAGAATATCTCCTACAATTTGTAATTTAATTTTAAATAAGTTTATTAAGTTACCATTTATTTTGGAATTTAATATGTTTATTATGTGACATCTACCGTTAGTTGCCGAAATAAGGAAATGCAAACAATTTTTTTTGTATTATGTCAGTTTATTTTATCGATTTTAGCATAATGTAAAGCTTAATTGCAAGTATAACATTAATTATTAATTTTGATTCAGCTTACTAAGTCTTCTAGAATTTCAATATATAGCAATACATATATTCATAAATTAAATATGTAATATTCAATATTTTTTTCATTTAAAAAATATACACATCAAAATGATAAATTCCGGAACCATATTCCGTTTAAAATACTTATTAAAACGCTTTTCCATTTGTTAACAATAAAATTAAACAGTTAACCAATCCACCGGGCCATTGAATTTTATATGATGAGAATACGTTCATAATGAAACAATCATTTTGTAATGGAGCTGTTTCTGTTACGATGGTGATTCGGAGTGAATTCTCAGTGCCCTTTATACAGTTTTCATTTTTTTTATTCAAACCATTTTACCGCAAATTCACTGTCCGTTAAATAAACCGCTTTTAAAACTTGCACAATTTTAATGGCGTTAGCGATTTATTGAAATATCTACAACCTAAATACTACAAATAACAATATACTCCAGTGAAATTTAAACTATTTTAATGACATTGTCACCTGAGGGAGACGGGTACAAATTGCGTATGATGCTGACGTATGAGAATAACGAAGGCCGTTAGTAGGTTACATTACATTATTATATAAGTAAATAATTGTGTACTGTGATATTATAATATTTTAGTATGTTTTTAAATTGTTATTTACTTTAAATATATTTCCAATCCCATTTTATTTATTTCTTACTAAAGTTTTGCATTTAATAATAAATAATGGTGTTGAGGAACGAATAATATAAAAAAAAGTGGGATACAAAATATATAAAGCTCAAATAAATATGCAGTAATATACCTGACAATGCATTTTCTATATGAAAATATAAGTATATTTCTATTTAAGGCTTTCAAACATTTTATATTTACATTGAAGTTGTTCTCATTTGATTTTTTATAGAAATAGTTCTATATGCCGTATATTTTCTCGGTGTCTTGCATTGCCAGGTCAATGATTATGCAATCTAATCTTTAACCTCCCAGCTTGAAGTAGTTTTAAGGCGAGTCGAGGTTTTTCTGTCTCTTACAGTAATAGGTGTATTAAGGATCTTAAAAAAGAAAAAGCAATTTATAAAATGGTAGCACTTTTTGCTGTAACCTTGTTATGCAAATTATTACTTCATTCTCAGATTTGTTTTTATTTCGTTAAGAAATCGAAATTATGTGTATTGTGGATGAATACCTAAAATAAGAAGAATAAATTACTATTACATTGACGGTTGTAACTTATAATATAACCTTGTTTCAAATAACTATTCAAAGAAAATTTTCACATTTACGCTTCTTTTATTTGTTTTCTTATAAGATACTATGTTTAGAAATTAACTTTGAATAAATGTATTGCAATACAATGTTCAAGAGAAACGAAAACATTGTTGGATCAAGAAGCATTCCGGACATGAGCCACATAGGGGGATTTCTTCGAGAGTGTCGAGGCTTCAATTCCGTAGTGCATTGCAGTGCTTATTGCCCCCTGCAAGCAGTGCGGAAGTGAGGCTAAGGCATTCAAAAACTACATATGAACCTAGCAAGCGGACTAAAATAAAGCCATTATACACATTGAAATTAAATAATATATAGAATAGTAAAATTTACAGGAATATGTAAGATTTAGTCTCAATATTATTTTCACAATTGTCTATAGATGTTTATTCAAAACATAAAAGTATTTTACTTTTTCAAAACGTCATCTACTTATATACGTTATAATAAAATAAAAAAATACTTACATATGAAATTCAATAAAACTAATTCTAAAAAACTGATTTTTATATCTTTGTTAATTAAGTTCTTAATTTATATGAGGTAATGATTACTTAGAGGCAATGCTTACACCTAATGGCGGCGAATACATTAATACTCAATCCATTATATTTTCTACCACGTAACTAAAATTGTTGCATAGTTTTAAGCCGTCGCTGAAAACGGGTTTTGTGAACTAAAATTTTACTACAAAGTGACCACTGAAACATTCGCTGTTAAGTAAAGTGAATATTTAAATTATATAGCAAAAATATTTTTGATACGCAGGTATAGAAGATATGAGTGAAGGTACCAGCCTCCCCTGTCTTGTATTTGTGCATGGGGAGTCGTATGAGTGGAGCTCCGGTAATGCTTACGACGGCACTACTCTCGCGGCGAACGGAAACATCATCGTAGTTACAATTAACTTTAGATTGGGTGTATTGGGTAAGTAAATGTGAAAGTTTTAAATATATGTTTGTACTGCTAACTAAATCATTAATATTTTAATAGAGGTATGTACTATAGTAATATTATAAATTAAATTCTGTTTACGTTTGCTTCTCTTTATTAATATCCAACGAACTTCAGAAAAGGATTTCAGGGATGAATAGTATAGATTTATGTAACCTCTAAATAACTTTAAAATCTATATCTTTCTTTCGAATTTTATAGTAGATGTTTTCAGTAAATGTGAGGTAAGCCACTGGAAAATCTTAATAATATATCTAAAAACGATAATTGTGTACCTGAAGGATAAATTTATGGAGAAAGGGTTTAAGCCGGGACAAAATCATTGTCATCAATTAATATGGAAATAGGCCGTCAGATAGTAGTCAGAGATAACAGATCCCTGGGCGTGTCGTAACGGGTGGATGGTGTCGCCCACAAATTGACGCATTCGGTGTAAATTATCCGCACACGATGTAATATGTCAACACTCCCGCCATCAATTACGAGTTAACTTGCTATCATACTTAAATAATTTTCTATGCATTTTGCGCAGATGGTCCAAGTTCTCTGAAAGACACTCAGTGAATTACTTTACATTTGAGATAAATATTTAATTAATGGTGATATAACATATTTTATTTCTTTGAATTCAGTTGCTGTTATCTATTATTATTATGAAACAAGTAAAAGCAGATTTTTCCTGTAAATATTATATACATTAAAAATTTCAGAGCCTTACTATGTATATAAATCATGTTTTGTTGAGTCGTATAATATTTTGGTATATAACAACCGCTCTCTCTGACCATTATAATATACACTCGTAATTTTTACAATTCGGTCAAACAGTAAAAAAGCGAATTTGATACAAATTTCTTTATCCTCATTAAAATATATATTTTTGTATATAAGGTTTTCTCAAGACTGGAGCTAAAGGTTCGGCGCAAGGTAATTTTGGCCTAATGGATCTAGTAGCGGGATTACATTGGTTGCGGGAAAATCTTCCAGCATTTGGCGGAAATCCCGAACAGGTCACATTAATGGGACACGGTACTGGTGCAGCACTCGCCAATTTTCTTGCTGTGTCACCGGTAGCTAGAGGTACCTTTTGCCTGACATTTTGATGAATTAACTAATGATAATGTATAGAGAAAAGAGTATAACAAACAGTATCAACATTATGATTTTTTTAAATGAAAAGTGAAATAAAATTAGGTTATGTCGTTTCTGTAATTTTCATTGCGGAAACCCCGGTCCCCACAAATAGAACCATTCAGGATGATCCATGGGCAACTCATTGTTCGTAATTAAATCTATTGCACATTTATTATGCTTTCGTGTCAAAGTTGAGTTCAAAATCCTTTGTCATTTAATGTAATTATAACGAGTATATGCACGAGAAAACGACATTAATGATCACCAATGTCTTATTACGTCTAAAAGAAAAGTAATATATATACATATGTATTACTTTTCTTTTAGACATACATATGTATAATAACAAGCCCTCACAATGCTTGCAATGGAGTAATTCTTAACAATGATTTTTTTTTTGGTAATTTTATTTGCCAGTTGATCCCTCTCGGAAATAACAAAATTAAATTAGGTTATCTGTTTCAGAACTACTGAAGCGCGTCATCTTGTTAAGCGGGTCGGGGCTTAGTTCATGGGCGTTACAGAGGGAACCTCTCACGATAAAAAGAAAGGTACACAGCTCTTTATTCAAAGCATATTAAGTGTTGATTTTAGTGTTCAAACAATTCTTAACAATTTTAATTATAACTTTAATAATAATTAGAATGTGATATTAGCTATTAATTATTAAATACTTCAAATGTTACTATATTTAGATATTATTTTTTTTATATTTACTAGGTTGCAGAGCAGACTGGCTGCCACGGGGATTTGTTAGAGGATGATCTGGCACCGTGCCTACGTAACAAGCCGCTCTCCGAACTTCTTGCAGTTAGACTGGATCCGCCACGCTTCCTACCTGGATTCGCTCCATTTGTTGATGGCACTGTTATTGTATTTCCATCCTCGGTAAGTTTTGAAGTTTAAATAGAGTTTGGATATACAAGTAAATAAATATCTTTGTTTTATATGAAAGTGATATTTTGCTAAGATTGTCTCCAACTTATTATAAAATACATTCATGATACTTTACTTCATTCTTTAAATTTTATAATTATAGTTATAAAAATGAAAGGATAAAAGGGAAGACAAAATAATAATAACGAAAGTATACGGACTATATACATACTATTTCCAAATACATTGTTATTATTCGAAAATTATGATTGAAGTGAAATATTATGACTTATAATATACATGCCTCTCTACGGGCAGAGTTCTTTTAGAATACCGCGTACTCTACGAATTTAGCAATATCATTCGAGTAGATGAATTAATAATAGTTATATATTTGTCTGAAGGCTCCTCCACCGTCAGATAGCTCTCGTTTGGGAGCAGGGGCAGCCGCTGTGGCAACCGCCGCAGGACACGAGCTAGCTGATTTTCCTCATAGAGAATTAATGTTTGGCCTTACAACAACAGGTAAATACTACTTTTTACAACTCAGTTTTGATTTGTAATTGCTTGTTGAAAAATATAACACTCAAATTCAACTATCCGCAATAAATTCTTAATTAAAATACTGCAATGTGCTTGTAATAGGAGAAAAGAAAAATAAAGACACAAACACAAGTTTTTATTTCTAAATACTAAAGTGAGATATGTATTCTTACATTTTAAAGAATAAAAGCAATGTTATCTCACTACATACTAAAGTTCTAATATTTTATATTCAACATTTCTTAACAATAGAGCTAAAATTTAATAAACTTCCCACTTAATTAAATATGAATGCCTTTGCGACTCGTAAATTTATGCAAATGAATGAATGACATGCCATTACTTGCAGAGTCTTACTTGGAATTCAATGCTCAAGACTTAGAGTTTGGCTTCAACGAGAGCCGGCGGGACCGCATTCTGCGCACCTTCGTCCGCAACGCCTACTACTACCACCTCAATGAGATTTATTCCACCCTAAAGAATGAGTACACGGACTGGGACAAACCCATCCAGAATCCGCTTAGTGTGCGAGACGCCACACTCGAGGTAAACTTCATTTATTTTGAAAGAATTTACCTCGAAAGTTTTGCTTGAAGTTAAGTAACACACTTTTATTGACTTTTCGAACTCTTAATTAACACATGCTGAATAAAAACAATCTTACATAATTCCATCCAGTGTGTGGTGTATGTATTCGTATATCGTAATTATTACGAAAAGTACTGATTTAATTATATGAATAACAATAATTTACTCAAATCATGTTCATCAATATTTGAATTTTTTAAGATATATTTTAATTTTAAATATTAATAAAAGTTTCAAGTCAATAAATATTTTATATGGTTCTTATTACAAACAACACGTTTAGACAATTTATTTAGAATACTATACTATACTTCATAAGTTATTCTCCAAGAATACGCCTTTTATATCAACTCGCTCCATTTTTAACGGTCATTCCTTTGTTCTCGTTGTGATAAGGGCGTAAGGAAAAGCTCGATTCTCTCTACGTGACCCTAGGCGACGTAGTGATTAATGAACTGAGTCTCTCTTAAGCTCTTTAAAAATTTTCTTCGTACAGAAAAGACAAGAAGTTATTAAAATTGAATAAGATTTATTGCATTTGGCTGTTAGCCAAAACAATTGTTTATTTATAAGCTTTGTAATAAGGATTCGTTAAAGGATTATTACTAAACTGATGGTTATTATTGCTATAATAAGTGACAAAGTCGGATATAAATAATAGTCTTTATATAGGTCTTGAACATTGCCATTATTACAGTGTCGTATCTTAATTTAGGCTTCCAGTGGTTTCACAAAATTTGGACAAAACCACATCATTACTGTTGTCACTAATCTTTACAACTAGTGGCTTTAACTTTCAATCCATACATTTTATTCTTAAACATACAGGTCTATCTTATAATTAGCATAATAAAAAAAGTATTAATTCTAGAATTATATGTATTAAAATTCTTAAAAACACAAAAAAAACAGATATGTAAATAGGCAGACAAACTCCTAATGGAATCGAGTAGCGCTAATGCACTATAACATTAATTTTAATAGTTGATTTAGTACCATAATTAGTAAGTATTATACAAATCCGCTTTGAATGAGTTAATAAAATTTAAAACGGGAAAATATATCGAGCTTCAATTCACATTCGTTAATGTTATTATGATAATTCAATTCCGATTATTATTATTTGAATCAGTCAATAGTTGATTACTGTTTATATTTTACGTAAAAAATATCAATTTAAAACAACAGCATTTGAAATGTTTTTTTCTAATTGATTTACATGTTGAATTTGGAATGTATAAAGATATAGTGATCTTTATTTATGCACAAATAGAGCTGAAATTAATTTACTCGCTTTATTTTAACCCCCGCTGAAAAAGTTTTAAACACAAAATTTTGAATGAGATTATGAATTTATATGTGCTTTTTTAGAAGAGGTAATAAGAAATGTATGTCCGTTTTTATATCCTTTATTTATATTCATCTCATGAATAAAAATGCCACTGATAATGTAACACAATAATAAATAATCTTTCTGCACATGGAATTCGGAAACAATATCAAAACCCTATCGTATTTCATCCCGGAAATTGAACTCGGAAACAAATACACGTACTCGGTCGTCGGAGAGACTTACTTAATTTTGCCCATTTAGACCAATGGACAGTAATTGGACATTTATTTCTATACATGTTTAATTGAATTAACAAACTGTATTCGCGGACTACTGATCAATTTATTCTTTCATTTGCAACATTAACATTTAATATAATTTGAATAACAAAATGTCGAATTAAAAGCTTTTATGATAATAATTTCTTTAAGTCATCCGAAATAATTTTGTATGTCTGAAAGTTAAGGTTGAAAAATAATTTGCGAGGTTGATGCAAATTATTTTATTAAATATTTAATTAATTAATACATTTATAATTTATTTTATTTAATCACAAATTTCCGCATATTTTTGTCTTTAATAATACGTACACATTATTTAGATCCAAGGAACATAAATATTTGATGGTTTTGAACCGATAAGTTATTTATATGTATATTTGTTGAAAGGTACTGAGCGACGGAAGAACGGCCGCTCCTTTGATCAGACTCGGATATCTTCATGCTCTGCGTGGCGGTGTTACATATTTTACCCATTTCCATCATCTGTCCCAAGATAAAGACTATCCTCAGGTAAGTGTGGCCTCAATAAAACCTCAATGTTATGTCTCATGTATCCCATTTATTTGTGTGCTTTAATTAATTGAATCATCATATGCAAAGTAATGTTCAAAACTTTCTTATAAATTCAGAAACACGTCGATTATTTTGTTTTGATTTCATTTTTTGTTTCGATTGTTATAAGCAGAATTAAAGAAATAATCTTCAATAACCTCATAACTTAAAAATTCTGTATAGAAATACTGTTGGTACAAAATTCATTATACGATCTAAATTTCAAACAGATTTATTAAAATACATACTTAATTGGCACAATATTGTAAATTAATTTTATGTATAAAATAATTATTGTGTTATATGTAGTTGTAAGACATTGGTGAAGAAACAAAAATTATCTCTTCGTTATACATATATATTATCACTCTTCTAAAATATTATATACTTAAAAGTATATTTTTAATATAGTTCGAAAATAACTTCTGGAATTTGAAAATAAAATATACGTTTTTAAATAAAATTGGTTTTGGCTCGTGTGGTTTTAGCGGAGACTATTTACTGTAAGCTTGAATTTAAGAGATTTTACCGAAATAGCTAGCTACGTGGAACTTGGTGGCTGAAAATGTGGCGACCATGTGAGATTATACGTAATAATGAGTGTTTAAATACTTTCAGGATTAGTATATATAACTAATTTTTATATTTAAATTCGTTACACTAAAATATAGAAAAAAAAAATTTTGTTAACTGTTTTTCTCCTTAGATTAATTTTAAAGCTACAATTATATCTAAACATAAATAAAACAATTTTGTTTCTCTTTTCACTTTGATTTTATTATTTCCTCTCATATCCTACCTATATTGCCTAGAACAAAACATATATTTATGGACCAAATATTGTTTTCTACAGTCTGTTACCATCAGGTAAATAATAATAATTGTTGTTCTTTAATATATAAAAAGAAGGTTGAGCATAATTTAAATGTAATGCTTATTAATTTAATTTTGTTAACATATATAAATGTATAAACAGCGTCCTGGATCTGTCCACGGCGAGGACTTACCGTACTTTCTTGGACTTCCATTATCTCTAACGCATCATCAGCAGAATTTCACGGCAGTCGAACAAAAGGTCTCCAAACTATGTGTGCACTACCTAGCAAATTTTGTCAAATATGGGTAAGATACTTATAAAATTATACTTTTGGATTTAAATTACAACAACGCGAAAATATTTAGAGAATAATTTAGAAAATATACTATTTCTTAATATCGCAGTGAATTATAAATGCAGAAGATATGATAAGTATCTTTAAAGAAATATTTTCTTTTAGTTTTACTTAAATTATATAATAGGGATATATTAATTAACAGAGTAAGATAAAATACGTCCATTTATTTAACGAGAAGCTGCGACAGTAATTTAAATAATCCATTATGAACCTGGGCGGATAGGGTGGAAAGAATTTAAATTAAAACTATATTTATATGTAGGGAATATTTCCAACTCAGAGCATGTCCATACGTTTCACTTTATTTGCGTAAAATTCAAAGCAGCTTACTTGTTAATTAATAGGAAAGTATGATTTATTTTTGTAAAGAAATTAAAATAACTTCATAAGTCTATAGAGCACTTAAAATTGTTTAGATCTCTATAATTTTAGATTAATCAGAGTTGTTGAACAAATTTAATCAATTTTCTTAAAATTGACTTTTAATAAAAACTTATTAGCAACGTTAAAATATCTGAATACTGTTGAAGAATAAATGTACATATTTATAACTGAAATAATTATTTTGGAGTGTTGATTATAAAAAGACAATTTGCATGACAGCAATCCAAACGATCCGTCTGCGACGCCTCCACCCAGTCCCGTAATGGGGGAAACTCCCCATCTTGAAGCAGACCAGACTCCCTACTGGGATACCTATGATACCATTAACCAACTTTACATGGAAATAAGTACGTCTCTTATTCATAAAATATTATTTTGGATATAATAGCATAAAATATTATATTTAATTCAAAAGTTGTGTGCAACCTGCATCTCTTTTTTTATATTTATAATTTTCTTATTAGTATTATCATAAAAATGTAAGTTCATACAATTTCTATACAAACATAAAAATTTACACTTATTATAATTTTGTTATGTAATTTCGGTGACAGGTAGCAAATCTGAGATGAAGAGTCACTACCGTGGGCACAAAATGTCGCTTTGGTTATCCCTTATTCCACAATTGCATCGCCCTGGATCTGATTTACCTGATGCAGCTATGAGGCATCATCATTTTCAAGATGATAATGCAAATTATTATGAAGGTAATATATATTTATTTCAAAATTGTGACAATGAAAAGAATATGAATTTTAAATTAAATCAGGATAATGAATTAAGGATATTTTTTTATTTCTTTGTACAATAGGAGCTGTAAGAACTCAATCATTAGCTCGAGCGCATGTCCCTCATGTTGTGGATATTGATAACGGAAATGTTCGAGGAGATTCAGGTCGAAGTACCTTGCCTCCCCGTGCTTCGGCAAAACCCTCAACAGCACCTCCTGTTCTTTCAACTGAATGTCCACCAAATACAACAACTACACCAGTTCAATCTGACGATGCCTTGCTTCGTCGACTAGCTTCATCGCACTACCAATCTTATACAGCTGCGTTGACGGTGACAATTGCCGTTGGTTGCTTCTTATTACTTCTTAACGTTCTTATTTTTGCTGGTATTTATCATCAAAGAGGATCCCGGCCTCGGCGCTGCAAAGATGACTTAGCCGAGGCCGGGAGTTCCTCATCCTCTGATAATTATGACGGAAAATTAGACTACGAAGTTCGCGCTTTCGACGGCAAAGGATTTGGCTTTGAGTGTAAATCCGCTCATGTCCCACGTGGGTCAGGCTCTAAATTTGATTTGAGAACTTTGTCAGACTGTGGAGAGCCAACATTTGGAGAGTACAGTTGCTACGAAGAAAAACATAGAGCTGCCCGAAGTTCTTTGCCTGATGTCAGCGTTGGCAGTGCAATTGAAGCTGGTAGTGTTGTTTGTATTGATACCCAGAAGCCAGACATACAAAGAGTAGAAGGACGCACTTCGGAACCAGTTGGAAGAACAAGTACTTTTGAACCTCGTGTGGTAGATAGTTCCACTCAAGTGAAGTTTGGCCCCATAGATAATTCGTTAAACACATCTGATATAAATGAGGATTCCGAAACAGGGGCAGTCGGAGGTTCGGGTATTTTAAGAGTCCCTCCTGCTGCAACTGTGCCCGCGCCACCTGGAATTATGAAGAAAAGAGTTCAAATACAAGAAATATCTGTATGAGATTTACGAAACTTGGATAATGTAGAGGTTGTGGTGAATACACGAACAAAGTTGTGAGTTTTTAATAGTTGTAAATAAATATTGCCATATTATTATCAATCCATACTAATACTTATAAACATGTACATACTGTATACAAAAAAAAATCGTAAAAAAGGTGTGAATTCTTACATACATAATATGTTGAATATGGTTGTAAATATATAGGTTAATAAATATGTCAGAATAGTAAATAAGGTCGTCTTGAGAATGTAACAATAATTTTAGGAGGTAAGACTAAATTATAGCATTGCGATAGTTGCGATGAATTTCATATTTGGGAAAATCACCCATGAAACTTATAACCTCAATTAATTGGCTAAATTGTGTCTTATCTCTTATCAATTATTTTTACGATTCATATTATGATGATAATCGGAAGAATCGTAGATTGTATCGGAAGTCTGGTCATATATTAATGTATGTGAATATAACAATAACATAGTGTGAAAAGACTTAACAAATATTAGGTGTATAACAATTAAATAAAGTGTTTCAGATGACTTAAGATGAATAATAATGGGTGAGTTGCAAACGTTTGTAAAGTTTTAAAATTTTTTTATTTGTTATTTTTGTGTAGTTTTTGATATAAGTAAAATACAGTGAATTACAATGACGTGGGACGAGTACTAGTGCGTCACAGCTTTACCCTCTTTATGATGTCAACGTTAAATTCTGTTAAATTTTTGAGGTAGACAGGGTAAATATCTACATGTCAGTTATTCCTATTTATTTTATTTAAGTTTATGTAACAAAATAAATATACACGACCCTGTTTAATATCAAGTATATTCAACGGGGAATATGAATGAATGCTTAAAATACTAATTTCTTTTATCATCTTTTAATTAATTTCACAATTATATTGTATCAGTAATAAAATATAAAAGCTATTAAAAAACTATTTGTAAAATAATTTTTTAATCAGTTTCTCTTAGGAAATATCAAGCTTCAACCTATTTCAGAAAATAAGGTGGATAGAATAAACTATTCAACTAAAAGTTAAAGTAAAAACTCGTATGTAATGTAAGTAATACTTTTTATTTTATTCAATATTTAACTTAATTGCAACAGTTGATATCAAAACAAGTAAGTAATTAAAAACGACAACAAGTTTGATGGAATCATTAGGTTGGGTTAGCTAAAATAAAATAGTAGTATTAAAAACATATAAATGTTTAAGGAGTTTTTATACAAAAACTATGAAATTCTGTCAATATGGAGAATAGATAGAGTATTTTTTTTAAGAAAATTCATTCTATTCCCTTCTTCGAACTTTTCCAATTTTTATAAGTTTGTTAACATTCAATAAAAAATGTGCTCGTCCAAATTATCTTCCCAGGAATTGATGATTAAAATAATGGAAATTGAATTAGTATATTAAATGCATTGTTAGCCACGTTGTGACAAAATGTGAAATATAAAGTTGATTTATAGAATATTTTACTGTTTTTTAAATAATAAAATTTATGTTCGATAGTTTGTGGAATTGACTAAAATAATATGTTATTTGCATTTATCATATTGCTATGACTGTTTAGAATATAACTTTATATTAACGTTACTAACAATTTTTACCTTTGCAACAACTTCATTAAAATAGTTTTGAACTGTAAATTTATGAACGGAGTGGATTGGACAAGTTTCCTTAAAGGAATTGTATACTGTTTCGTTTTTATGAATATGTCTAACTTTAGTTACAATAATTTGTTTATATATATTGTTGTTTAAAGCAATGTAAAAAAAATATCTATAAATTCGTGCTCTTAAACATTATTGTTTCATTAGAGTGAAAATGTTATGTTATACATTTTGTTACAGTTTGGTGTTAAAATGGATTGCGTAAAATATTGTGTCAAATAAAAATTTGAAATATAAATATTTGGTTTTATTATTGACAGGCAGGAAAAACGCTGGTCTCGTCTGGTATATATATATATATATATATATTGAAAGTTCTAAGTCGCGGGCAGACAAATTCTAACTTGTCTGTTTTCTTATTCAATTATAACAAAACAATAATTTAATAATATTGGTTACCTCAATACATCAACAAATTTTTCATATAATTTTAAAATTTGTTTTATTTTTTTGATTTAAAAATGGAAAAGTGTTATTAAAGTTATTGGATCAAACCCACTTCTCAATACTAGTCTATGAGCATACGCAAAAATGGGATTAAAACTTGTAGAGATTATTTCAGACTTGAGGTCAACGGACAGACAAGGACGTACTTCATTCCAGTATTTTCAAGAGATTTTAAAGAATATGTGAGACATGTGTAATTTCGCTCGCGTAATAATTCATTTAAGTGCATATTGCTCAAGTAAATTTCAGTTTGATTTGGTTTATGCACAATATGAACCAAAACAGATGGTAAAATTGTTGAATAATGCGTGCACTAATTTATAAAAATAGTTTAGTAATAGAGGAAGAAATATATAGTTATGTATGTGAAAGAGGAGACTGGGTTTCCGGGTCTCCCGAAGGTTTATCGAACGAATCTCAGCTATAATAGACACTTCACGTCCATCATCAATGAGGGGGTGTATTACTTTGGGCGACCCAGCACAAATGTATAGTGTACCATTAAGTCTTGATGTTTGGCTAGTTTCACAAATAATATTTAATATTTTCAGTTATTTTTAAAAGTAAACTAATGAATCGAGATTCAATGATATAAAATCTTTGAAAATTAGTTACTTTTTATCTATTTTGAATAAGGAGTATTTTTTTACACTTGTGTATATTTTAATTCCTTGATGAGGAAGTATTATAACGTTATTGCATAAAAAAAATATAAAAATTTTGGAGAAAATTTTGTAATGTTTCTAAAACTACTAGGGTACCAGTAAACTTTTTAAATTATCCTTCTTCAGAAATGTCCAATTTGATTCCTAACATTTTATTTGCATTTTCCTTTCTATATTGTGAAAGAAATTCAATGTTTTTATTAAAATACTGTTAAAGTTTGAAAGTTAAAAAATTAAATGATTAAATATTTAAATAAGGAAGAACTGTTACGCAGGCCATAATTTATTCCCACCATATGTTGTGTTTCCATTCGCCAAAAGCGACGCGACGATCTATTTGAAATTGCTGTGACTAAATTTGCTTCCGCTGGAAAACATGGAGCCCTGATTTGTGTGTGTTGTAAAGTAAGTAGATAGTTTCGGAACAGTTTGATTTTATGTCGAGTTCGTAATTTGTAATATAAAATTAAAAAGCTATTTCATCTGTCTTACTAATTATAAGAACTTTACAAGTTTGATCCTTTAAGGTAAATACAATTATTTTCCTCGTGTTAAGAAAAAAATATTGAAATTCAAATTATTTTTATGTTTCCAATTAAAAATAAACAAAACCTTTCTCTTAATTTGGAATCACTTATTTTCATAGGATCGTTTATTGTGTTTTCTACTAGTGTTGGGTAATAAAAAATCCAAATCACTACGATTGGATAACATATTATGGGGCCAAAAGATATTTTGAAAATATTTTATACGCCTGGTAGGTTTAAAGCAGTTTATTTCCAAAAAGAACACAGTTCGCTTACAAAGGAAATTTAAAAAAATATAACTACAATTAAGATTACAAATAATAAACAGTAGTGATATTAAACAAGATCAGTATTAGTCAAATGTTTATGTTTCGAGCTATAGGTAAACATAATAAAATATCCTCACTTGTCATAGAAAAAGATGTCGGCTATTCACATAGAATTAGTAACAAAAAGACGATGGAAGCAATGAGGGATAGAATTTGAAAAAAATCTGTCCCAAATAAAAAAAAATATGTCAGGAAATGAATATACTCGTATAACCCAGAAGACGACTAAAAATTCGCAATATTTAAAAAATACGTTGGTGTTTTCTTAAGTGACCATTTTAAAAAGAATGAGGTGGTCAAATCATAACAAACAGTTAACCAGTAATAAAAAGAGGTGGTAATTATTATTTTTTAAGAATGACAAATAAACATCTACAGTTAAGTAAGATTTTAACAAAAAATATTACTTAGTGAATTCAAACTGAAAGCCCTAAAGAAGCTTAAAAATAAGTCAACAGAGTACAAAGTGGGTATTGTCTCACTTCAGTGATGGTTTGGGGCTATGAAGAAGTGATTGAGTCATTTAGGTAAAATGTATAAAATTTTAATGAAACTAATATTTTTCGGATTTTACTTCGCGTTTTATTTTTGATTAGAAAACTACATACTCCCGACGTTTCGGCTACTTTTCAGCAACCGTGATCACGGGCAGACGAGATCTTAGATCTCATTATGTATAAAATTTGCACAAGTTTATAAAGATACAATTTTTGAAAAGGTAATCAAACTCTTTATTTAGACCATTTTCTACTGAATACTTATTTATATTCAGAATGATTCTTCCATCAAGACTCAAAAAGGAATAAAAATTAATCTGGGTTAAAAAATAAACTACCGGGCTTCATCACAGTTGAAGACTGACTGTAATCTAGTCGTGATTTGAACCCACTGCACTATGGATTTATAATCAGATTTAGAAACTATGGCTTGCTCTGAATTAAATAATCTTAACTGAAGTTTAAAATTACTACGAGAATAGGTGAAAAATGATCAAATAGAAAGCCTTTCGAGTACTATTTTTTAGCCAACGGCAACCACTTTAAAAGAGATGTATATAGTTTTAATTGTTTTATATTAACATATTGAACTTAAAGTCCTTCAACTATTATAATTGTTTCATAAAAAGAAGTATTCTTCTTTATTACAACATAAATTAAAAGACCAAATAGTAATCTCTATTTTAAAAAATAATATTCACATAATAAAGCTACATTCATCTAATTTTTCAAAATACTTTACTAATTCTCAACAGGATAAGGACACACCATTTTTGTAAAATATTTTTCATCAACGAATTTTTTAGATTAACATTCTCTACATTTTAAAAATTCCAATCAGTGCCTTAAACATCAACCATCTATTAAATTTTAAACAAAATTTCTAATACTGGTAGTGTTAAATTAAATGTTGATCAGAGATTACGTAA